CCAGCCGCCTATCCAGCGGCAGGGCAACCAGCCGCCTATCCAGCGGCAGGAAAACCAGCCGCCTATCCGAACTCTCCCATGACACAAGCTGCATATCCTCCCGCCCCTGCAGGACAGTATCCACCTCCAACACAGCAGGCGTACCCCATGGGATCTCAGCCCTACCCCGCGCAACCACAGGCCACACCCTACAATGCCGGGAACATGTATGACAATAACACAGCTCCCATGGCCGGAGGAGGAGGCTTCATTAACGCAGGATTCCAGCCTCCTCCACCTTATGATCAAGTTGCTACCGAAAAAAAGTAAACCAACAAAACAGAGCAATCTTGCCAAAGTTTCTTTCTTTCTGATTTCATAATTATTGTTATTCTTTATGACCGGTTGCATATATACTTACATAGTATACCATCAATTGAACACATTAAACAATAAAACGTCATTATATTCAAAGTTTAGATAGAACCCCCTCTTTTACAATTTTGTATTTTAAATTAGTTCTATGGTTCAAAAAAATAGTGTTTTGTATTTTATACCGGTGGTGAGTTGTTTGATTTTATAAATCTCTATATGACACGAGCCTTTGGGGAATGGAACAGTGAAATTATGTAACTGAACAGCCTACAAACGTTTCGGATGAAGACATTAATAATTCATTCGGATACCCTCGCTTGCTTCCATACCATTATTTGTTACTTGAAGTTGCAACCTCTTTCTGAATGTAGAGCGTAGAAGAGTAACCCTTCGAAAGATGAATATAGCTGATGTCATTCGGAATGCCTTGCATGATCTGTTCCTCCTGTATAATTAGCACAGGAACTCCAAATATGTTACAGGTGTGTAGCAACTGACATATGTATGTTAATAACACACTAACGCCATGAAATACACCATTTAATCATCACAACCCAGATAATATCGCCATGTGGATTACGTTGACATTTTCAATCGATTTATTTTCTCCTTATCGTTCGTTGATTGTTTTTTTCGTCCGCTTCACTACCGAGTAGTTCGGTTATCCAGCAGACGAAAAAACAGGAAAATGTGAGTAGAAGGGATAAAGTATGGAGTGAAAGAATAGAAAAAGACCACACATAGATGATCTACTAGTAACTACACAATGACCCAGCGATATAGGTTAGACGGCTCCTTCTCTCTGTCACCCTTATCACCATTCTAACATCCATGGTCACCCTCGATACTCCAGGGGCTACGTTCACTTACGTTCTGTGCAGAAAGTGTTAGTGGGCGTAACCCCTTGAGCATCAAGGATGATGCAGGAAACTGATTAACGATACAATCCTTAGATTGTGCAGTCGATTTCGCTTGTTTAAAAAAAGGAACAGTTATTTCTAAAATGAATGTTGTAGCTTAAAAAACGTCAAAAATAATTACACATACATATACTGTTTACGTTACATTCCTTTCGATTTCATTTTCGTAAGAAAAAACCCAGCTTATTTCTCTCTTTCATCTGCTTGTTTTAAGTTGACAGTACGCAATTTCATTGTAAATGTGCATGTGTAATGACAATTTTGTTATGAAATGTATCAACGAATTAGAACCATTTTGTGATCTAAATTGCATTGAAGTATAGGTTTTATTTTGTGTATATTTTTATGGAAACAAAATAATGAATTAAGTATCATCTTAAGTTGTTAAAAAATAGCGCTTTCATCATCATATTTTTGCAAAATGTTAACAAAGATATATTTTAACACATTTATTATTTTTGAAAATGTTCTCTGCTTTATATTTTAATAAATGTTTTAACAAACCGCCTTACTACTCTTTCTTGTCTTTTTTTCCATGATATTGTCTGAGTTGTCTCCCCTTAAGGCCCCAATTGTCCATTGGAATTGTTTTGACCTTAGATCCCATGAAAGAAACTCATATCATTTTATTTATTCATACAGTTATCAATTTGTATCTTGTCATATATGGATAGATACTTTATATTTATATTAGAAGATTAAAAAAACTGTTGTCATCAGATTCAGATGTTGCATAACAGTTTGTGTGTGATGATTAAGAATTGGATATGGGACTTTTCATCCCCTGCAGACGAAGTTGGAGTGGGTTTAGGTGTTGTTTTATTAGCTTGACAGAGTCCAAGTACATCACATGTAGATTTCGACTCATATCTACTGTTATACCACGCATGTAGGAATATGACGTCTTGAGTTCCGTAAGTGTTTGGTGCGTATGTTCCACGAACTTTTGGTTTTACGGCAAAGGTCATTAAAGGCCATACACGTGTGCTTGTGTGCTGGAGACAGGATTAGTTGGAGCTGATGCCGACTTTATAGTGCTACCTCACTGAAATACCATGCTTAAGGTTTTCACAATAGAATTCCACCTGGTCACATTATACTGACAACAGGTGAACCATGTGTTACTATTACCCTAAATGTTGAACGTTTAACAGGGAATAACAATTACAATTTTTAATATTTTACAGCCGAATGAGCGCCGCAGTGAATAAATCCCGAATTTGGCATAACAAATGATTCTGAAAAAAATGGTTCTTCATATATAATGTGGTAGAGCTTATAAAAAATGGCTTTTCTATCTAAATGACTATAATAAGACTTTTTACAGGTACGTTTATTCTTCCCAATAAAGGATATATATATAGGTTCAGGAGATAAAGTTTGTATGGAACAAGAAAGATAACTCTTCGTAGAATCTCGCACCTTTCTCGTGCATCGAGAATATATAATAATATATACTTTATAGTATGAATTATACTCATCTTTTGAAGATGTGATTTGTAAATATAAAAATAAATGAAATTTTCTGTCATATTTTATTCATTTGGCACATAGTGGATCGATACAGCAAAATTAACAAAATAAAAATATTGCACATTAGATACAAGATTGAACAGTCATTGATTCATTTCCGTTGTTATCTATAACCAACTATATGATTGGTCGATGACGTAAAGCTGGTTAAAGTGTCAAGGCCGTTGGTCATTGGCTGAAATCTTGAGTAAAATGGTACATGGTTGATTGAATGAACCATTGGTGAGTGTGGACTTGATGCTGGCGAAGGAAAGTTCGTGATATCATCATCCCTCATCATTTGTTGGTGCTTGTTGTTGATTGTGTACGGTGGGGGGCAGGGGATCCCAAGTGCCTGTAACTGCAATAGATCAACGCCACCTGTCGGAAGGGACATGCCTCCTGGAAATGATTCATCCTTCTTTTTCCGTTTTTCCTTCATCCTCCTGTTTTGGAACCAAGTCTTCACCTGTGAAAAGAATGGATTTATTTAAATAGAATTCATTAACAAAAAAAGATTTTTACAAAACTTAATCCATAAAGCAACGTCAAGCCAAACTTTATATCATATGAACAAAGCGTTACCTAGGAGACAATAATTTCAATGAACAATACCTAGCTTCTTAGCTGTTTTTAATTATAATAATTAATAATAATAGTTCGAGGTTCTTATATACCGCTTTATAACAACCTAGTTCGTAGGTCGTCTCAAAGCAGTTCAATTATTATCCGTGGTTACTTTTTCAACTCCCTGGGGAGCATACAGCCGGTGCTGCCATTTCGGCGCTCACAGCTAGCATTCTACAATTCTAGCACTACCCATCCACGTACTCATCTACAGCTGAGTAGACTGGAACAAGCGGAGCAAAGTGTCTTTGCTCAAATATAAAACACAGTGCCGTGACTCAAACCCACAACCCTTCTGTCACGAGTCCGGCGTCCTACCACTAGACTGCCGTGCCTCATTACGACAAATAAAAGCAGAAAAAAACGAGGAAAAGTCTTGAGTGTTAAATTCAAACTCTCCAGATTATTGTTTTTGTTTAATAAAGAAAACTAAAACATCGGAATTGTTAATTACTTTCTGAGAAACATCGAAGTGGTACATAGGTAGGGACTTGCGTTTGGGTAAATCGGCGGGACCAAGAGAAAACTACGCATGGTATTAAAGAAAGTATGCAACTTTATGAAATTTCCGCGGGGAAGATTACGTGTACTTAGAATTAAAAACATAAATGAACATATGTTTACATGTACATGTATGTACACCTTAAAGAAAATTAACACTAGTATATGGCACATTTTGTTCGGTTGTTTTAGATGAAAACATCAGATCTTGGAAAATAGGAATAGTTTAGCAAATTCACTGGTTGAAAATGTACGATTTTAGAGTCCAAATCGGGAGTTTCAGTCTCCTCCCGAAATATATGAGTTGACAAGTTGGACAAGTACTGTAAATATGTAAGGTTACTTCCGAATCTAGTTTATCTCAATTTATCTCATCTTTAGTGTATCTTCTCTGTAGAAGTAATTGGTCAGTAAGCGTACCTGCTGGTCCGTCAGTTTATGTTCCCTTGCCAGTCTTGACCTCTGTCCAGCGGGCAGATATTTCTGAGCTTGATAATGCCGTTCCAGAGCCTCGATCTGGTCGTTGCAGAAAGCTGTTCTCGCCTTCTTTGGTCGGGGAGTTTCGCCAATACCTTCATCCGAATCTGTTATCAGACCAAATAATAACTTATAGCAGATTGTTGACATTGTGTATCGATAAATTTTGCAATATATTATTAATGATAGTTGTCTTACTTTATTTAAGAAGTTGTTAAAAACATTTCTGATGGTTGTTTGTGTGCAAACGGGCGATGCGTGCATGTATGCCCTGATTTAATACATTGTAGTTGAATAGTTGTACATAGTTGTATAAATCGCATTAAATGTGTCGTTGTTGCCTGTTTTCTCACTTACTATGACTAGTAACATTTAAGTAATTTTGCAGACTATTATTACGTCATCATATTTCAATTTCAAAATATTTTATTGACAATATATACATACATAATAAAAACAAGTTGTATATATCGAGGCAAATGTTCTTAGCTGTACAAGGGCTCCATCAATGGTGATGTTTATGTCCTTGGGATCCTGTGCAGAGGCGTGGAACAGGGGATTATTTACAGTGATTAGTTGGGGGGGGGGGGGGGGGGGGGGGGGGGGGGGTTGCATGGTATAAGATAAAAGTTAAAAGCTGGTGTATGTACTAGCGTGTGATGAGGGCTTCGAGGGCTGCGTGTAAGTCCCCGAGTGTTGTGGAGTGTACTGCTGCTATGGGAAGGAGATTCCATTGTGTTAAATTGTGTGTGTGAAGGATGAATATTTGTATATGTCCTTTGTAGCAGATGTGTTCATTATGCGTAAGGGTGTGCATAACACAATATTTACAGAGTTACATGCAGGTATTAAAATATCGTTATAGAACCAGAATCAGACAACTGGCTAAGTGTATATCACGTCACATATTAATAAAAAAAAACACGTTTACGACCGGTTGCCGAAGATACGAGCTTTACATTACAAATGTAGTTGCCGAGAGTACACATGTACTCTGTTTTTTTATGATCTAAATCTATGATATAAGCAAGGAACACAACTTACCTGAATTTGGGCAGACAGATTCAAAACTTGAGTCGACTAAACTTTCATTAGATGCCGTCAGTTTAGAATCTCTCTTATCTCTACGTTCATCAACATCTGTATCAATATGTATACGCTTGCGCTTCATGGAACATCCGGTTAAGGACGGTGTGCAGCTCCTTGGTACATCCAAATTATTATGGGCATCACTTCGCATGCGCTCATAACCACTTCCGGATACAGAAGGGGTACTGTTTTGAGAAGAATATCCCTCATCGGGACTAAGTCCAAACGAGTTTCCCAACGGTGAATTAAACTGTACTGGCGACACTCTTGGAGTTGTTTGTCCTTGTTTTGTAAAATATGAGTTAATAAAAAAATCTGTATTCACATCTCCAACATTCCTGAAATTTTCACTCTGCCATGGATTTCTGTTAATAAAAAACTGTCCGTTTGCATCCCGATCTTGACTTTCTTCTGTACGGCTACTTTTTGCTAGATTCTCAATAGAAAACGCCATTTTCTTTGTTTTAGTTGTCGCCATTTTTATGTCACTTTGTTGAGGTCCTCAATCAAAATAAACTTGTCTGCACTCACACCGATAAATACAAACAGGTTGGAATCTTTTCAGATAATTCCTCAAAATACAAGTATGAAATCAGTACAAGGTCTACACTCACTGGATGTCAAAGCAATTTTGTACTCACACTTTGAGAGACATTCTATTTATACGCCAAATTTCTCCCGTGTCCAAATAAGGTCACTGCGACCTAATTGACACGTTTTGTAACCTTTTGTCACCCAAACTGATGTGTGATAACTTTATAACAACACAAGCCAAATGGGTCTTTCGAAAACCTGTTCGAGGAAAGTGTTGTTACAAGTCCTCATTGTTATCTTAATTAATTAGGCTCTGGTCGATTTCGGCCACTAATTGCGGGTTGAGAAATCCATCCACCAGGTGACTAATATTGATTAGTGATGGCCGGTGAGCGAACGGGGCGGTAATTTCAATGCCAAATTATCGCTAATTGCAATTGAGCTCAACACCTCACTAACATTGTTCTCTTAAGACAGTTAACACTCTTTCTGAGCACATCAACATGATAGTTATATATCTATCTTATTATTTATGCTAATCACCTCATCGCCCTTAAACCTCTCCGATTGAAAAATAGAATGTAACACCTGTTTAATCGCAGATTATGTACATGTACATTACAGGGCTCCAAGGTATCTTACATATATGATACAACGACGTACGTTTAATTCCAGCATTGAAGAATATTATGCAATCCGATAAGTTTGTTAATATCTTTTGAAACAGGTGATAACATCTAACAGTACGGTGGCGATGAAAGTGGATAGATAATACGGGGATTAACAGAGGATTATGTTTTTACTTGACCGATTAGTATCATAAGCCATTGGATTAACATAATATAATGAAATATTAAAAAAAAATATGGATGGTTGTTTATATTTTTAGGGTAACAAATACATCAAAGCAAAAACATTCACCAAAGGATTAATGCTTTTTTTCAGTTCATTGAAATTATCACAGTATTTCGTAATTCTTTATTAATCGTAAACTGACAGAGTCTATAGATACAAACTTTGCATTAAACTTAATTACAACAAAAATTTCCTGGGCCATTCAATTAATACAACATTTAATTATCTACTAAATAATTTGCGCGTAATATGTTTGCTTGATGGACAAATTTCCTAAATTACACAATTCTTTCGTATTTACAGATGATAGACATATAACTAATTAAAGACGGAGGGATTTATTCGATAATAGGGCTTAATATATTTGGTTCTCAAATCATTATACAAGGGGCATTTTAACATGAAATGATTAATAGCTAATCGATAAATTGATTTCGTGATATTTCCGATAGATAATTGAATATATTCACTGCAAATACATCATAAGATCGATATATACCAGAAACAATAAATTAACGTGTTCCTCTCATAAATCGGTAATTCATTTTTATTTCATATTCATTGTGATAGAAAGATGTATATATACATATAGATCGAAAATAAAGGAACGATTATCGGCTTTTTCTTAGTCCGTTGGAACTTACAGGCCATCTATATATCGATGTCATATTATTTGCGGTAGGTATTTTTATTTATTTATCTAAAAAATATCAATTGATAGAAGTAAACATTCATTGAATCTTTCACACATAATTGTCCATCTATTTCAATAATCTCAATAAGTAATTCATTATCGATAATTTCGTAAATATACCTTATTATTCTGTGTAAATTTATATACAAAATGTATGTTGTACCGGTTCAGAAGAAGACTTATATAGGCACTGCCTGTTGTCTAAACCTTTTGTTAACACAATAAAATGTGTTGAAACGAACCGTATCTTTCACATAATCGATACATTGATTTCATTTTATTTGCGAAAGTCATTTGTATATTGTATATTTTCATTACAAATGCAACGAAGAATATGTATATTGATAATAGACAAACGATTATCGACTTTATCTCAGTCCATTGAAACTTAAGATAATGAAATTATTTAGTTCTAAGTAATTCGAAAGATGTTTGTACACGTATACACATAATGATATGCATATTAATCAAAGACGAAGGATAATCAGTTCATTGAAACATTCAGATAATCGATATATCAATTTTATAGATATTTCCAAATACTCATGGAATAGGTATGTATTATTTGGAGACAAAGGATTAACCTTTCCTCTCATTTCGTGATGAGAAGAGACCAAAACATGCTAATTACAGGTGAGTCGAACTTGCACTCATTTTTTTCCACAAAAATGTGGGTGAAATAATGATTGAAATTGGTTCTCTGTCAGTCAAGAAAAATGGACATTATGTCACTCAAAACCATTCTCGACGCTGTGGAATCATACACTAGATACTTGTAAAGAATTATGAATTATCAAAATTATATGATCGTTGTGTTGTCACAGAAATAATGGCATAGTGTATTTGATCTTCGTGTTATGTCACATGTAAGCAAAATTCATAAAATAACAAAACAAAATGGAATATCTCAATCTTCTGAATTAGTCCTCTCGCACTTTGATGTAATTGTATATTCCTTCATGTTATTCCTCCACTTTTGTTGTACACATATATACTGTACATGTATGTGACCATTTGTTGTATATATATATACTGTACATGTATGTGACCATTTGTTGTACACATACATACTGTACATATATACTGTACATGTATGTGACCATTTGTTGTACACATATATACTGTACATATATGNATTAGTTGTACACATATATACTGTACATGTATGTGACCATTCGTTGTACACATATATACTGTACANTGTAATAAAAGTGTTTTTTATTTTATTTTTTATTTTGCACATAAAGTTACAATGACATTATCAAATCTCACCATGCCCAGCGATATTTCAGCAGCCGTCATGTTTATTTACATTGGATATTGTAGTTCCGATCAGTGTTGTAATTAATACGCTAAGAATTGTGTCTCGTGCGGCATGGTAATTATGTCTCGTGCGGCATGGTAATTAAAGTCCCATAAACGACACAGCTCTCAAAGAGGCTATATAGTGACAATGCCATGCAAATGTAAATATACATATATATTGTTCACGTATATGACCATTCGTTGTACACATATATACTGTACATGTATGTGACTATTTGTTGTACACATATATACTGTACGTGTATGTGACTATTTGTTGTACAAATATATACTGTACATGTATGTGACCATTTGTTGTACACATATATACTGTACATGTATGTGACCATTTGTTGTACACATATATATACTGTACATGTATGATTTGACAATTTGTTGTACACATATATAATGTACATGTATGTGACTATTTGTTAACGGGGCATTTTGATTACTTTGAACCTCTTTTGTATTCTATTAGAATCAGATTTTGTTGTCAGTTTGAACAGTCCCCCTTTAAACATTCCAAGAAGGCAGCAACAATGTTTAATGAAATGACAACGCAATTCAAGGTATGCAGGAAATGCAAACCAATATACATTTATACATTTTGAGTGTATACGTATATACGTATTTTTTCCGTTTTTATCTCGATATACGAGGAAATAAACAAATGTTTTGAGTTATCATATTATACTTGAATGAATACAAATGTCAATAAAAACTGTATCTGTAAAACACTAACAAACAAACAAAATAATTCAATCCACGTGACCTGTAAATCCGTATATAATCCGAACGAACACCTTTGCTCTACAGACGGAGTTAGGTTAGGACGGGTTAGTGTATTGATCAGCGCACAAGTTATATTAATTACGATCAATTGTTGTCCTTTAGCCCACCATTTGATTTGTTTTTTCTTTAGAACCATTCGTGATGCATGTCATGTTTAATATAAAAATCTATATTTTCTTAACGCAGTCGAACGACCTGGTAACCGCCAGGGTCATATGAGGACGGGCACTTTGAGGCAAACAAACGATATCTTTATTAGAGATTATACTGAAGTAAACTGTATCAATACAATTACTTTAGAATCCCAAACGTCCATGAAACCGTGCTCATGCTCAAGCATGGATCTGTTCTCAAATCGACACTGTGACGAGTCGCGTGTGACATTGGTGGTCGGGTGGCGCAGTGGATAGCGCTCTTGTCTTTGTCCAAGTGGGCAGGGTTCGAATCCCCAATCGGGCGTGAACAGGTCACCTGCCCGGCCACGTATTCCGGGTTACCCGGTTTCCTCCCACATTAAGACCTTACGCGCGCATCCAGGCTAACAACAGTGCTACATATAAGTTGAAATAAATTGTTTCATAATTGTTGTAAAATAAATAAAGTTTATATTTATATTTGTGACATTGTCAAAACGTTAAGTGAATATATTTTCATTTCGCTTGAAGTCTCTAAAACGTTTTTTCAAAAATCATCTGCAAAAATTAGTTTTTTTATTCATTTACCACATAAAATAAAGGAATTGGTCTCGGGCACAGAACCCGGGTTTGAGCATGAGAACGGTTTTGTGAATACGGGCCCTGTTTAGATATCCTACATACGGTATAAGTTGATTTGTGGGTTCAAACGCCATCAGTTATATAACAACAGTACACACACCTAGGTACGTAATCATGGGTCAGAACTTGAAAACAGACGAAATCCCAACCTTGTAACCATACGTACGTAACTATGTCTGTGCACGAAATACATATATGCTACCAGGATTGGCCTTAGGATTTGCCCCGCCCATACATGCTTTACCCTTGGTCATAACATAAATGTGCATCTTGTTTTTTTCTATATGTAAATTGATCATTAACAATCGGGTACACCGTATGATGTGCGAGTTATGGATGCGCATGCGTGAAGTTTGGTCATGGTAAAATATTGAAATTTACGTCACAATCGATGCGCATGCGTCAAACTGTGTTGTTTTCCTCCATGCAATTATATTTAATTTCTTCGCCCAAGGTTACATATTTGAATAACGTCACGATCGATGAAATAGAACAAGGATTTATATTGCATGTCTGTACGCATTATAATCGATTTCCTTTTGACAGTCTAATGGAAATTGAAAGCGTCCACTTGTTAATCAAATCAACAATGAGATCTAACTAAGGATATTTTATATTGGTCACATGTCATATGACACAATAACACTGAACATCAATAATTGACTTTTTAAAACATA